AGAATCTGGTGAGAACTCTGCAGCTGGCACTGTGGTCACTGCCACCACCTGCCCTGTGCCCTGGACACACTAGTGGTGCTACTGCTGCTGCACCCATATTGGATTCTAAGAGATTTCCCAGAGCTGTGTCTCCTGTGTGAGTGGAGGGAGGAGGGCACCTGATAGACTAGGCTTAAGTCGTCTGCTTGCAGTTACCTGATGACTGTGGGGAGAGGGAGCCTCTGCTCCACTGAGGCTTCCACAGTGGAAAGCCCCACCTGCTTCCCACTTACTCTAGGATGCCCACAAAGAAGTAAGTCCTAGTCCTGGAAAACTGAAAAATGGAAAATGTCTACTAGACTATGCGGACTCAGAAACAGGAACATCCTGGGCTTGACAGCAAAGTTGCCCCTTTGAAGAATCCTAAATCACTGGGTAACACTTGGGAGCTACCTATTCTTGCACATGAGTTTTGCTGCTCTTTGACATCAGACCCTCACCTCTATGTAGTCCATGTCACTCAGAAAAATGTCTAGGTGGCTGCTACCTTTTACCTTGTCCTCTTATTCTTTCTTTTTAACAATGTGATTTACATGCATGTATTTCTTACCTTCTTCTCCCCCTATATACCAAGTTCTTACAGCCCAGGAATATAAGCATGAAGACAGTCCTTGAATACGTCTAGGCATGCCCTTCTATCCTAATATACAAGGGTGACACAGTAACTCATGAAATGATTCATCGTTTGCCTTGTTTTTCAAGGTGTGGTAATGACTTTGTTCTGACATACCGTTTTCTCTGCCCTGGGCTTCTGGTGCCTGTCTGATAGGTCTGGCCACTGTCTTTGGCTTTGCCATCTGACATGGACTAGGGTCAAATCCTCCCCCTTGGCCCAATCATGTTGAGTTCCAACCATAGAACTAAACTGGCCTAGGGAGACAGCACATAAATGCTGTGAAACAGCTGAGGTTATTACAAGGAGAACAGAAAGAGAGAAACCAAAAGGAGATGCTTATGCTGTAAGAAAAACAGGACAGGAAAAAAAACCTTCAATAACTTGAAAAGCACACTCTTTGTTTCTTTTAATGTGCCTCCTCTTTCTTGAATATCTAGAACCTTCTGAAAGAAAGGTCTAGAAAGGTCCTTCTGTCAGCTCTGGTCAAACCTCTCAGATGTTGGCCTTGGTTAGCATGGCCTTGATACCAAGACTGGCAAGGGCAAAAGTAAACAAAGGAGCCTTGTAAATGTCTGTACTCTTTGCACTGTAATTGCGCTTACAAAGATCTAGCCTTAGGAAACAAACAGAGCTATGGAAAGGAGATTTATGTATAATGATATTTATTTAAAAGCTAATTATAATAAGAAGAATTTGCAACAGTCTGCAAGTCCAATAATGGCAGGAGCTAATGCTTACTGAGCTTTTAATTTGTATAAGACATGGTGCTAAGTGCTTTATATGAACTTTCTCATCAAACCTCATGAGTGAAGTGCTGTTATCATCCAATTTTACAGATGAAGAAACTAAGTCACCGAGAAGTTAAGAAGCTTGCTTAGGGCCATGCAAATCCAGGTAGTAGAGCCAGGACTTGAACTGAGTTTCATCTGAGTCCAAAGCTGGTGTTTGAAACCACCAAGCCATACAGTTTCTCAATGGGGGGATGATTGGATAAATACAGTACAAATATGATGAAATATTAAATTGCCATTAGAATGATGATAAAATTTAAAATTGTTCATGATATAATATTAAATTAAAAAAAAAACAGACACAACATTTAGTAAAGCATGATCTCCACTAGGGTACAGATATACACAGACTGTTAACAAATATGAAAAAAAAATGATTGTTTCTAGTTTGTGAACAAATATAAAATTGTGTTTTCTTTTTCATACTCTTCTATACTTTTCAAGCATCCTACAATTAGCATCTATCACTTGTATAATCAAAGAAAATAGTTGGTTTTCCGAAGAAAATAACTCTAGGCTGGAAGTGTCTAAGAATCAGTGCCCAGGGGTTAGCCCTGTCATGTCCATTGTGGTGGGTCTCGACCCTACAAGGCCAGGCAGCTCTGACACACTGTGGCCAGCCCCCACGTCGCAGCCATCCTGCTACAAAAATGAGATTATCAGTGAATGAGACCGGCGACCTGCACAAATTACAGGTCAGAACTGGATAGGAATTTTCCAGTTCTTCGACCTCTAGTGAGGCGACTTTGGACAAGTCATTTATCCTTTTTATGCCTTTATTTCCTCATCCATAAAATGAGGACAATAGTATTATCTACCTGATGAAGCTGTTGTAAGGATTAAATGAGAGAAATCATGTCTAGTACATTCTCTGGAACATAATTTTTACTCGATAAATCAACACTTAAAAAGAATGACAAAACACACTTTGCCCCATGGTAGACACAGAGGCAAAGGCTGAGGAGACTGAGTTGGCAATATCCCTAAGAAACAAGTGGAAGATATTATTGCTAAAATCAACTCCTTTTAAGTAATTTGATTAAATTGAGCTGGTATTCGATGGACCAAAGAACGTAGTTGTGTTATGTTTCTAGTTTTGTCCAAGAATAAGAAACTACATTTTTTTTGTTTGAAACCATTCTAAATTCCCTATAAACACACTGTCTTCTGTAAGACTAACTCTAGTGTTCAATGTCAGTGTGTATAAGTTACATAAAAATTCTTACCAAATTAGAGATGATTTGGGGTTTCTCTATATACTCAAGTATGTGCTGTGAGAGTAATAGGCATAATTTGATATTCTGCTTCAGGGATAGAATTGTCTCTTTATGGACATAACACCACAGACATTAAATAAACACTGAAAATACCATGAGATTTTTCTAGCACATTAGGCAATACACTGATGACTAGAGCTGACATAAACAATATTTTTCAGTCATAAAGTTTCTGTGTATGCGTACATCATTCTGTTTACGAAAGCTTTTGTATGTTAAACTGTTTGAAAATGCTATAAAATACTAATAGCAGGTGGATTAAGGCAATAAGATTAGGGTTTTTTTTTCTCTCCTTTTTATTTTTCTTGTTAAATTCCCTTCTTCTATTATAGTTACTGCTTTTATAATGAAACATGTTAAGTATGATTTAAGGAGAAATGAGCCAGCCACTTGGTGGCGATATACTGTGAACAATATAGCCTGTGTGGCTTCGTTTCAATCCTACGCTTAAACATTTTGTCATCGGCTTGACTTCTCTGACAACCTTGTCTTACTTCAGATATCTGTTTCTTTGGGACATTACCTTCTCGTAATTAAGCATCTCTTTTAAATGACTTTACTTTAACTTACTATACCTGGTTGATTTGAAACTATGACAACAAAAAACTCTATAGGAAGATGGTTTATTCTCTATTAGAGCTAATAAAGGCCTAGTCATATATGAAAATTATTTTTATGTGATGGAAATAAATAATTGAAGTTTCATTGCCAAATAACCACCTGTAGTTTATACAACAGAATTATATTAACCTGTATTAAAAGTCAAAATCACACCATATATTATTTTTAAATAAAAATGCTAACTTCAAAATAGTAAAAGTGAAAATGAAAACAGGCCAACAACATATGTTATAAACCCATGATTTTGCCAAACTGAAGTTGTTACATTTTAATGTAATACTTCTCTTCTTAAATTTTTTAAATAATGTAGATGCAGATGCCTGCTTGGGCTCCCCGAGAATGAACATAAGCCTATAAAATGCTGTTTAGATGAGTAAACCCGGCTGTTGGCCACTAGGGCATAACTTTGCTCCCTCAGTTTTTGATGGAACCACATACTTGGGACCTTTACTAAGAGACTTAGTAAAGCATTGAGGAGCCAGAAGGAATTTGATTTGTCACAATTCACAGTGAAACATTTCCCTCTTGCTGTGGAGAAGTGAGAATAAAAACATAGGAATGAACTTTCAGCTTTTCTGATGTTTTCATCTTCTAAAATCCCCTACCCATTGTTCTTAGAAAACCACCCTTCAGTTGAGCCTGTGTTTGAAGCCAGATCAGCCTTTTAAAAAAGAACTTCCAAAGACCCATAGTAACCTTTTTACTGGGACTCTGAGATATTTTTCTCAAAGAGCATTGCCTCGGCCACATAGCTTGTTATGCAAGCCTGTGATATGTCCGTAGCAGTTAAGGATGCTTCAAATTGCCTGTTCTCCCTGGCCCCCAAAGTAATTCTTTTAAAAGAAGAATTTGAACAGTGAAATCAGAAAGACTGAATGAATGGGGCTTGAGGCACTCTTGGGGATCCACAGCTTAGAACCATTTTCAGGAATATCTTCCGTCAGCTGGAAGAATTGTGTCCCTGAAGTCACCTCTGGCAGCTTCTAATTATCAGGAGGGAGGAGATGGGGCAGGAAGCTCCAGGATTCTTTTGAGTTCAGCCTGTAAACAAGTCAGCTGCCAAGGCAGCTCACCCACTCTGGTCAGAAGCTTTCGTGAGTAGACAGGACTAGGCAGGACCCTTGCCAGAGGGAACGGAGTAGAGGGAAGTCATTGATGGCATTCCCCTCTTGTGTTATAACCTCAAAGTGTCTGCTAATCAAAACTAGACTTCCTACATAGAGCCAAGATGCTGTTTGCAACAGCATCTCTAAGGTTGTGTAAAGGCAAAAGTCACACATCTTGGAGACTCTTAAGGAAACATAAACTTTATTGCATTATCTATTGGAAGGAATCAAGTAGAGAGCAGTTGTCTTTTTCTGGCTCAGTGCATGAAATAAAGCCTAGAAGCCTCATGAAATTAGTGGGCACACTTTGAAGTTTTACAAACCCTAGGTAGTTCTTATTGTCCTTTGAGTGTTTCCTACTTTGGGATTTACCCACTTTAATAAAAAGAAGAAGGAAAGACCCCCACTTGACGGTTTTTGCTTTTACTTCACCTTTCAAGCCTATTAAAGTTACTGGTTTACTTTAATCATCTCCAAACAAGTGAAGAAACTCTCTTAGGAACCTGAGTGCAAAACGTAAAAAACTGACACTGTTTTCTTTTTGTTTAAGTCCCCCAGGTCACACTGAAATCATTCCAACCTGATACTCAGAATTCTGGGCTTTTAATTGCTTCCATCTTTAAAGGACGCCTTACTTCTGGTAAGAAAATATTACTCAGGCTGAGTAATTGAGTAGTCTTCACTAATCATCCATTTGAACCCTCCACACTGAAGAATCATGTGTCAGGCATAAGTTTCTTGATAATAAAAATATGCCACATGCTTTCCATAAGAAAATATTCAACAACAATCTGCTTAAGATTGAATTTAAGGGGTGGTTTAGACAGATTTTGTCAGCTTTTGCTCTGGGTTAGACACATGTTCATTTTAATTGATGTTGGGGCTCAAGACCTCAAAATTTCTTTCTAAAAAAAAAGCACCATTATTTGAGTGTCTACCATTGAGTGTCTACCATGATATGTATATCATCTTTTTCAATCTTCAAAATCTTTTTCAACCTTCAAAACAAGCCGTGAGATAAATGTTACATATCTATTTTACAGATGGGAAAACTGGAACTCAGGTTGAGGAACTTGTTCGGACTGAAAATTCAGACCCTGCTTTTCAAATCCTGAAGTCTGTGTTCTTTCTTTTATACAAATTAGCTCTCATTTTGTTAGTATGACTCAGTATTTTCCATTGATAAGCATACCTAAATGTTTTAGGCATAAAATATATTAACCCAGGTTGTGCAGTGGACAAATATAACTCTAAATACAAATTTCAAACTGAAAAGCTTTAGCATGACTATTTCACCACTGACCATGGGTGGATCATTTGTTTGCATAGAAATCTGTCAGGAATAGTACACAAACTTTTGCATGTGAGATTGACATTATTTGGACTTTTATTTATTCAAAAGATATTCTATGTTTCCAGGCACACATTCTATGTGCCAGGAACTATTCTGAGTACTAGGGAATCAGCAGTGAAAAAAATGAACAAAGCCCCTGTCTTCCTGGAGCTTCCGTCCTAGATAGATGTGGAAAAGTAAGGTGGTGGTACATGCTATAAAGAAACATGAAGCAATGTAAGGGTGCTCTGAATTTCTATTATGGGAATCAATTATGAATCAAGTGCTTAGGCTCAGACCAGATCCCTAATTACAGATGCCTACACAGACATGCACCTTGATATTTCTGTGGGAACTGTGGAGGCTAGAAACTCATGACTGCTCTGTTACACAGGTATTATTATCTTTATTTTATAGAAGAGGAAACTGGAGCTCCTGTTAAGTTCATAATTATGCTCTGAGGTTAGAGAGCTAACACGTGGCAGTGTCCAGTCTGAACCCAGGTATCTCAGGTTGTACTCTTGGTCACTCTCTCTACTCCTTAACATCTGCTTCCCTGGCCCCATGTCAACTTGGGGATTCTCCATCCTCTTCCAAGCCCTAATGTCCAAGGGTATGTGGCAGTCAGTACCTCCTGTTAGCTGCTTGATATCCTCAGCGAAGGCATTTTAGTCCTAGGAAAACAATAACTTCACACCCCACCGGGACTTTGGAGTGAACTAAGCCACACTGGTCCCGGCCCACTGGTTGGCTTTAGGAGAGGGGCTGGACAGCTTGGAGACCCTCAAGTGTATGGCAGGTGTAGCTGGGAAATAACCAGGGCAGGGCCAGTGCAGCATCTGACACATGATGGTAAGTATCCAATAAACATTTGTCAAAGGGAGGGAAGAAGGGAGAAGGAAGATGGAAGGCCCAATACCCAGCAAGGCTCAGAACCAACTCCAGTGTGATAAGTCATGTCTCAATTATAGTCTACAGTTGAAAAGCATTGTTTTCAGAGTAAAATGTCAGTGCAAGATATATAGCAATTTGGATTTCTATCTTATGACACATGTTGTTCTAATTAGAGTGAATGTCCTTTTTCAGCAGGAAAAAAAGTCATGAACAATAAATTTTGAAGAATGGTGATAAGTTGTACATAACTTGTACCCTGTATAAAAAGTTACAAACAAAACAACAGAAGAACGTCAGTTGTGATTGTGGTCAGCTTTAGGCACTGTTGCAAGCAATTGGGGATTCTCACTCTTGTCAGACAAACCAAATGAGGTCTATCACTAAACCTTTTTATGTAAAATATGCAATCACGAGCTCAGAGAAATGTCTAATGCTGTCCACGTTTGCCAGACACTCAGTTCTAGAAACCCACTGACATCAGATACGTGTAGCCAAATTTTCTCAAACAAAAGGTACTTTCATGCAGTTTGGAAGGGCAGTCACTTCACAGCCCAAGGTAAAGGTTAATTTTATTTCCCCTTCCTTATTTCCTTTGAGGTCAAGGACCTTCACTTGGAGTAGAGTAACAAGAACAGCGATTCTGGCATCACATGGACACTAATGCTTAGCTAAAATTATTTTTCTTTACTTTCAGACAACAGGCAACAAGACACTGGACTTTTATCAGGAATGGTCTTCTTTGCCATTATGTTGTCAATTCTTTCTTTGATTGGGATTTTTAACCGATCGCTCCGAACTGGGTAGGTTTCTGTAGATTTTGTTTTCTAATTTAGACCATATTTTTGTACCATCAAAACACAGTCAACTCAATGATTTACTCAAAAAATCCATCAACATTTTTATTCAGAGAAAAACAAAAAGATCAGTGTTTAATGAGTACCCACCCCCTCCAAACTCTTTACAAATGTCATTCATTTAATCCTTGCCACCACCCTGCCAGAAAATCTCAATGGCTTGTTTTACAGATGACTTACACCAGGCTTACAGGGGTTAAGTGGTCAGCCCAAGGACACCAAACACTAAGCCAGGAGTCCAGACACAGCTGATGTTTCAGCCCGTGTTCTCTCTCTCAGCCCACTTTCTCCTCATTGTGCCCTGACATCTATGTACAGCGCCTGGATTCTTTACAGAGGTTAAGTCGTAACCTGCCTCAAGTTCTACCCGAACAAATCCCCTGAATCAGTGTGAAGAGAAGTGTAGCAACGTCTGAATTCGTCACTTCGATACCAATCATGTTAGCGTATTAGCATCCAGCCCGAACGCCCATTCTCCTTGGCCTCCTTCAATTATTTTTTTTTCTGACACGGTATGAGTAAAGATCAATGCCTAATTATTAAAAAATGAGACTTTGAGGGAAGCAAAGTCTTTGATCGCTTAAATTTTACTAGATGTACTGTGTATTTCTAACCTGTTTAATAGAGTTGTTTGATGTGGCAGTCTCCCAGTTCTCCCAGTGACTCACAAATGTTAACACTTGGGAATGGCAGCAAGTTTCTATTTCTTGCCATCATTGCTTCATGAGATATTACTCCCTTTGAAATTTATAATCAAAATGCAATAGACACAACCTTGTAAACTAACTATACCTCAATAAAAAAATGCAGTAGAAAGATTTAGTATAAACTATTCTAAATAGTGATTTTTTTTTAATTTACATAGGCTGTTCCCTCAAAACTTCGGTATTTAAATTACACACTAATGAACATATCCCTGGTACCCTTGTGAGGTGGCCAAACTAACATGGATCTTTACTTTACGTTGTTTTAAAATATACTTGATCGTAAAATCCTTTAAAAATATCTTAATGTTCAAATTTGTAGGGCATAAAAATATTAATATTTGTGTTGTTATCCGAAGGTGTCCTAAATAGTGTAAATTTTTAAATAATATTAGTTTGTTACTAAGATTAACCTAAAAATTAACTTCCCATTGGTAATAACAAATAAGAAAATAAAACAATTCTTTGCTAATTTAATTATTTAAATAAGTATTCTCTTTAAAAAAGAAAAGGAAACAAGAGACAATTCCAATATCAGTATTTTACATGAGCGGATACTGTTGTTTACTATAATTATACATTATTTGTAAAAGACTTATTTCAGAAACAGAACTGGAAAATAGAGGGCAAAACTTTTTAAATAAAATGAAACCAAGAAAGGATACATTTTTTTCCCCTGATTGTATCAACATGCCACAATAGCATTCTACGCTAGTGTGAATTTACTAATTTGGTCTAATTTTGGGATACTAAGGGAGTGTGAATTAGTGGGAAAAAAAAAGCTGACTCATAAAACATTGTATAAATATGTGCAAATAAATTATTTTTACCCTGCAGTTCAAGGTCAAACTGGGCTAGCAAAGTACATTCAGCCATTTTGGCTGTTACTTAGTAAAAGTTCTTAGAGAAGCTGCATAAACAGATAAATAAGCCTGATCTGTTGTGGTGCTTTGTTAACATGTAATTATGTGCTAGGGATCAGTGTAGTCTCTTCTGAGTTCCCAGTACCTCTTTGCTCAAATCAATTTTTATGTAAATGTAGAAAGTGCTAAGGGGTAGCTTAGGGGAAGAGATGGAGTGTTGACAGCTTCTCCCTCTTTCCGTCACCCCACCCCAGTGATCTTTAATGAGCACACAGCCAAAGTCACAACCAAGATCCTCTCCTTGCCCCACAAGTGCGAGACAACTGCCCCAGCCTCCGACTCCAACCACGTAAGGAAAGTGTAGAGCCACCACTATCATCTCAGTCTTACTCAGAATCACTTCACTTAGGGAAGCTGAAAAACTATAGTTTTACTATATGACATCCTCTTCTTTAATATTTTTCTGTGGCCATGGTCACCTTGGAAAGTTTTACAAAATATCCCTTAAGTTTTCCAAACTTTTCCACACTGGCATCTCCTGCTTATGATGGTTTGCCGTATTTAATATGTGAATAGTTTTACTTTCTGGGTGGTTTTCCCACTTATCTTGACTCCTGTGTGTTTTGAAATGTTATGGCTCATTAGAGAGAGGCAGAGCAATGGAGAGAAGAGGAAAATCTGAAAAGATATTGAATCAACTTCCCACATAATGTTTTAAAAAGATGGAAATCTTAGTTCCTGCATTAGAAAGTTTGATTTTTATTGTGCATTCCATTCTAGTTGATTTCCTAGTCTCCCAGATGATCGCCTGCACCAGTCCTAAAGTAAGATGCTTCTTCTAATGTGCCATTTTTGTTTTTTAGAATTAAAAGAAGAATCTTACTGCTAATACCAAAGTGGCTTTATGAAGATATTCCTAATATGGAAAACAGTAATGTTGTGAAAATGCTACAGGTAACCAAACACCATAAAATACAAATTAAATGGCAGCTGAGGCCAAGAGTGCAGCCCAATAATTAGAGCAGAATTTACATTCAAATAAATAAATGTATGTGCATATTTGCATAATTCTGTAAACATATGTAGAAATAAAATTGTGCATATTTCAAATCATATGTAAGAGAGATGAGAGAATGGAGCTAGGAGAAAAGAGAGAGGGAAGAAAGATACAATGCTATTCAAAGGAGGAAAGGGAAGTAGAAGATTGCCAGCCAGGTGCCAGGGTTACTGGCTGGCCAAGCAACCGGTAGGTGTTTTCAGGGACAAACGAAGAGGGCAGAAAATCTCAACAGAACGAGCCTCAGAGATACAGAGGGGCTTCTCTTTTACATGCGACTGAGAAGCAGGGGAATCCAAGGGAGACACCACTTCACTCCTGAGAGCCAGTGGAACCCAAGAGGATAAATGTGAGCAAACTGTGGCAGATGGTGTCACCAGGGGAGGGCCGGGTTTCCAGGTCCGCAGAGAACAGAAGGGTGACCGGGGAAGACCCTGCGGATAGAGGGGACTTTGCTGGTTATGGAGGAGTTGCTGCTGCTGATGGAGGAGGGGAGGGAATCTGCTACGTGAGGTGCGCGCCTCTACTTTCTGGCACCCTGGCCTGGCCATCAAGGGGCTCAAAACCCAGTTGATGGGACAGACACATCACCCAAGCACTGCAATGCAGCGATGCAGGACAGTGACAGAAATGAGACCACACATGACGAGAATACAGAGAAAACATATTAAAAGATGGGAAGGAGTTGCTCAGGAGAAACAGAGAACACTCAAAATAGAGACGACTCACATGAGTAAAGGCACAGAGGTGAGAAGAGCGTGCTGGGTGTTGCTTTATCGAAGCACTTGATGTGAGTGGCTGGAATGATCCTGGGATGGCGAGTGGCATCAGATCACAGAAGGCCTCGTTATGGGATAGACTTCATTCTGTCAATCAGTAGTTTTCAAACTCTGGAAAAAAAATTATTTTTAGCCTAGGAATCCTTTGTTCAAATGACAGGAGGAAGATGTGTATTTGTGAAACAAATAAACGTGGCTCTATTTGGAGCTCTCGTAAGCCCACTAATCAGCTCCTTCCCTAGCTCCAGGTAAGTCCCTAAGGCAACAGGTCTCGGCCTTGGTTGCATATTAGAATCCTGATTCCCAGGCCACAGCCCAGACTCGCCGGGGGAGGGAGGGCCTGGGGAGATCCAAGCATCGGCATTTTCCAAAGCTTCCCAAATGATTCCACTGTACAGCAGATGTTGAGAACACTGTCAGGGGTTGAAAATCACAGCTAAGACAAAGAGGAGCTGGTGAGGGGGTTTCAGTTGGAATAGCATGGTCCTAGGAAAGAGGCAGAGAGAGAGGGTCAGAGAAGTGCGCATCATGAAAGGTGGGCAATGCATCGGGAAGCAAAGCTACTCAGTGCTGGCTTCATAGAGGGTCTATAACATAAGGAGTGAATGCGTCTGTGGAATGTGACAGGGAGCAGACCACTGGTGGTCCCCATCCAGGGGTTCAGTTAGAAATGAATGGAACGTAAGGAAGTGGGGACTGAGGGTGAAGACCTTTGATGCGTGTGGACTAGAAGGAAAGTGAAGAAAGAGGCTATGCTGGCACATGGTCAGATCCTCTCAATACTGGTGGAACTAATGAATGACAGTAGCTCCAGAGTGGTAAGGACTCAGAAGCGTGTATGCACTAAACTGGACAGGCTTGAGAAGGACCAGCACAGAGCAAGGGGAGGAAACTGACCCAGCAAGACAAAGGGATGAGGCTGAAAGGTTTGCCTTGAGCACGAGGAGTTGTCTCTGGACAACTGAAGGAGAGAAAGGGTGTGGACGTGGCTGGTTTTGAAGGGGGAAATGCTGCCAAACAGTGGAAGGTAGCCCAGAACAACTGAACCCACGTGTATAATGAAGTACATAGTTAACAACCAAGGAAGGACAAGCATGTAGTCCCCAAACTACAGACAATGGACACTGGTCTTGATCTTCATCCCACTTAGTGGTTCTATCTTGCTTCCCTACTCGTTATTCTAGGAAACTGGGGACCTTCTGGGGCTCAGAGAATTGCCCCTGACCTTGTTGAGATCTTCCTCCTTTATGGTCCTTACGCTGGAATAGTCCCTGTTGCTTTTCTGTGTTCTTCACTGTGGTCTGACTCCCACCCACTCCTCTACTCAGCTGCCAGCCTCAAGAGGGGAAAACGCCCTCTTCCTCTTGGTTTCCTCAAGCATGTCTAGTTCTTTGGACTTCATCTGACCCAGGACTACACATCTGCCCCTCCCAACCCAAATCTGGCAAGTGCCCTGGGGAGGCTGAGCCAAAGAAAATTTGAATGATACTTTACGCTGCTTTATTCAAAGTCTTGGGAAGTCCAAGATCAAGACACCAGCAGATTTGGCTTTGGGTGAGCGCTATCTTGCAGACGGCTGCCTTCTTGCTGTATTCTCAGATGGCAGGCAGAGAGATCAGCTCTCTTGTATCTGTTCTTAGAAGAACACTAATCCTAGTCATGAGGGCTCCACCCTCATGACCAAATTACCTCCTAAGACTATCACACTGGGGATTAGGGCTCCAGCATATGAATTTTGGAGGGACTCAAACATTCAGTCCATAGCAGGTGGCTATCATTTTATAATTGTGTTGGGTGGGAGTTATTTGCCCTGCGAAGCCAGCCATCAGCTGGAAGGCCTCAATGCCTTTTCTTACCAGAAGAGTCATCAGGCTTTTGCAAAAAATAAAAGCTTTCTTTATCCACCCTCCTGATCGATCATCACAGACATGTCTGAATTGTGAGCAGCTGCACACTTTAGAACTACAGCACAAAGCATTTATTACAACCTTATTCTCAAATGGAAGGAAAATAGGATTTTCTGCACCCCTGTCCCCTCAACAATTTTCTCTTATTTAAGCAACAAAATGTTTTCTTGTAAGGCTCTAGAACATTAAGAAATATTCCACCATATTCCAAAATTTAAGAGGCCCTGAAATAATATGCAAATTAATATGCAAGAGGCTTCTTTCTCCTTAAAATTTTTAAATCAAGAAATGTGCTTAAAGCATGGATTATCTTTATTATTCCTTTGCTTCAGTCTTCTCCTGAGGGAATTTAACAAACATTTGGAATGGAGCAGGATAACAAAAGATGAAAGGAGGAAATTGTATGGGAAGAGAAACAAAATGAAGAAAAGTAAGGAGGAAAAGAAAGTCGAGAGAAAGCAGAATTCCAGTCTTTATTCAACTATCCAGTTGGCCTGTTTAAATGCCTTTTGTAAAATAAAACAATGTCTTTTCTTTCTAGGAAAAAAGTGAATTTATGAATAATAATTTCAGCGAACAGGTCTTATATGTCGATCCAATGATTACAGAGATAGAAATTTTTCTCCCAGAAGAAAAACCCATGGACTACAGGAAGGAAAAGAATACAGGCTCCCTGGAGACAAGAGACAGCCTGCAGAAGTCATTACTCACTGACACTACAGTTGTGTATATTCCTGACCCCAACACTGGGTACAAACCCCAGATTTCAAATTTTCTCACTGAGGAAAGCCATCTCAGCATGAATGATGAAACAGCTCCCTCAACTCTTAGACCACCAGCTGATTCCTTAGACCTGGGAAGGAATGCCAGGTTTAAAAACTATCCTAATTTTGCTTTTTCTATGTCAAGTATGAATTCACTAAGCAACACACTATTTCTTGAAGAATTAAGCCTCATTTTAAACCAAGGAGAATGCAATCCTCCGGACACGCAAAACTCAATAGAGGGGGAAACCGCCGTGCCTTTGGAAAATGCTTCACCAAATGAAACTGTTCCAGAGCAGACCCTGCTGCCCGATGAATTCGTCTCCTGTTTGGGGATCATGAACGAGGAGTTGCCAACTATTAATTCTTATTTTCCACAAAGTATTTTGGAAAGCCACTTCGAAAGGATTTCACTCTTAGAAAAGTAGAGTTGTATTGCAGTGAAAATTCATGTGGAAGAGTTGCCTTGCAATCTGAAGTTGGATCTCCACCTTACAAATTTAATTCTGACCTTTTTTTTTAGAGAATTAAGATCCAAAGATGGAACATACATCATGGTCACAAAAACAGCAGCAATATTAGGGACAACCCCTATGTTTAAAAAAAATCAACTATATCTTTTTCTCTTTTTTTTTAAACATTTTTTATTGATTTATAATCATTTTATAATGTGTCAAATTCTAGTGTTCAGCACAAATTTTCAGTCATATATGGACATATACACACTCATTATCACATTTTTTCCTCTGTGATTCCCTGTGCTATACAGTATAATCTTGTTTATCTAGTCTACAATTTTGAAATCCCAGTTTATCCTTTCCCACCCTCCGAACTATATCTTTTTCATGTTCCCTCATTGCAAGACACCAAACAGATCTCTCAATTGTCTAAAGTATAAAATAAAATGAAATATTGTGATAGTGAAATAAATGCTGAAAATAGTTCTTTAAAGTCAAGACATTAGTATTTGCTAGCAAGAGGAGAAGCAAGTTTAATTTTTATTTTATTGCTTAACAGTTCTCTTGAGTAGATAAAAATATAGTCCACAAATAACAAGATAAGTAAGGGGCAGAAACAGAGATGCAGTTAATTAACACGTTTGCTGTGCTATTTGTTCTACTACTTTCTATTCAGGTGTTAAGAATTTGATCTTCCTTATTTTGACTTTGGACTGAGACAGTTGTAAAACAGTCACGTGTGGAAATCATGAGATAGCTGTCTTCATTTCAGTTAAGAGTGATGGTGCTGAGCGACGGTACTGTACTTCTGTGGTGTAAGTTGGTGTATTAATTACACTGTAATAGATTTATTGAGCTAGAAGATGCAGGATCAACAAGGTGTGATTATTTCTTTTGCATTAGATATATGTCAGAAAATTATTGTTAAAACAGGTATTTAACAAACAGATATGGGCAATGCTTGCCACACTTGCCACTGCCCCACATCCCACATCTCCTGTTGACATTACTGACTCATCACCACATGCCCTTCTGCTGAGCCCTAAAGTGGCCTCAGAATCCTCTCACCACAATGCTCCCGATGGCCACAGTCAGTAAGGGCTGGGTCTGGAAACAAACTCAATCTGCCAACCCGGTCAGTATTGAAAGTGGGTGATCTTAACAACGTGAACTACATATTGTATGTCGAGAAATGGTACCCAGCAGCCTTCTCTATTATGATTAATTCTTACAGTCACGGGGAAATTTTTTCTAATGATCAGAACAATTTGAAAATTGGGTGGATACCCATTGAATTTCTTTTTCTCTTCTAAGAGCTGTCAACAATAATTTATATTCAGATTAAATAGTTTAATTTTATTATAACAAAGAAAGCAATCAATCAAAAAAAGATCAGTGTTCATCACACAGGCAAGCTATTTTGCTTTGTTTCAGTTTTTGAAAAAGAAAGAGTTTTGTTGTCATTAAGTGTCCCCATGAGGAGGCTGACCACACATTCTGGTTTATCCTGGTTTTTGTCTGATGTCCCAGTGTTAATTAGGACTAGTGTGCCCTTTCACTCTCAGAAGCATCTCTTTGGATCATAAATCATTTGGTCACTCTATCTATGAAGACTGTTTAATGCCCAACATATAACTAATTTGTCACAATTCATCTCTTTTTCTACACTTAGTCCTCTTTATTTTACTTTGTATCATTTACTAAAGCCATTTGCTCCTAAATGAATATTACTATTCAGTGTAAGAAGTATAAAAATCTCCTGCTGTGAAATTCTATTCTATTTATCTTAATATATATACATATGTATATATATTTGTTGTAGTTTACATATTCTGAAAGGGGGATATTTTAAATCACTAATTAAATGTTAATATTAAATATCTTGACTTGTAAATGACCATATGCCTTTGCTTTATTCTTACTTAACGGGAGAATGTAATAAAGCAAAGAGGCATGCAGTATTTGAGATAGAAATACCAAATAAGACCAAGATGAGCCTTTGATGTTTACCAATCCGATGAAGACATCTGTTAACAAGTGAAGAGTATTTTCGCAGTGTATTTCAGTATAATTGTAACCTGCCACACATCAAAAAAGCTTTTGTCAACCTTAAACGATTGCAGCATTATTCGATCTTCTGTGTGTGCTTTCAATGTAGTCAGTGCCTACTTTATAACTTCTCCTTCTTGTCCCCTGGAGTGTGTTCTCTTCCCGTGGTGTCTTCCCCACACCCACACCACCCTTCAGCACAAAGGAGACATGTCTAGTTCCATCTGTGCCATTGGCCCTTGTTGGTCTCAGTGGACTAAAAATCGAGGCTATACCTATAACCAAAGAAATGTGTCTGCCATTGCCTCAACTCAGAGAAAAGTTCAGCTGCTTCATCACAATGCAACCATGGTAAATGGAAAAAGGTTTTCTTTCCATGATTCTTTTATTCAACAAGTATCCACTGAAGTGTTGAATGCCCCTACTATGTACAAGGCACTCTGAACAATATAGATGTTAACAAAATCAGCCAAGTCCCTGCAGCCTTGGGGCTTATATTCTAGGGGCAAGAAGCAGATAATACATGGGGCCAAAACATTGACCTTAAAGTAGCTTACATTTTAGTGAGGAAGAGGGTGAGGATAGGAGATGGAGGAAGGCAGAAGAAAATAAAGAAGAAAAATGCCAGATAATAAGTGCTGTGTAGAGAGGTAAAATGGGATAACATGGTGGAGAGGGACTTGGTGGCTACTTGATGTTGGGCAGTCGGGGAAGCTCTCTCCCAGGAGGGGATGTTGACATTCCAATTTGAATCACAGATAAGAGCCAGCATGTGAGACCCAGCTTGCCACTGAGAAGTCCCTTCTGTAGAAGAATCCCCCAATGGTTAATGTTTCTGCTTCGTTCCCTCCTGGACAAGCTGCCCTTAACCCCAGCCCCCTGCCACCTCTCCCTTCCTCAGCCAGAATTTTCTGTAGATTTAGGGGCCAAGTGTGTATCTTTTCATCTTCCCATCTAGTCCATGTGCTTATTATTAACTTTCTTTCTCTGAGTCTCATATCTTTGTAAGTTGCTGCTTCCTAAACAAATATGTCATGCTTATTGGTGTGGGTTAAAAGGAAGAAAGTAGAGAGACATAGGGAGAAAAAGCCCCTTGAGATACCATTCAGAGGAAAGAAGGGGAGAGAGATACAAAGAAAGGAAAGTAGGTTAATATGCAGTGATGCTGAAGCAGAATGAACACCATGGTTCTGGACAATACCAGCGCTGATTGAAGGACATCCAATTTCCTCCGTTCCTGTATCTTCCTCACCCCGACCTCCCTTTTCTTACAAAGAAGCAATAGAGGGAGGAACAAGTGAAGTACAACTTTTGGGGTATCTTCTTGGCTGGTGTGTGTGTGTTTTATCCTTTTCTAAATTAGGAATCTGTTTTTACCAGAGTTAGAAATAATACTGACGCTGTAAGAAGGCTTATGAGTTTTAGTGTGCGGTTCTCAGGTGGGTTGCCATTTGGTCCTCCTGCTTCAGTCAGAAGGTGGTCCCTGCTCCTTTTCTTTCCTTATATTTTCAGTCATCCTCCCTTTGACATAGAGGCAACACATGCCTACGGCACAGGGGAAAGTTTTTCAAAAATAAATTTCAGCAACTTTCTCCCAGTGAAATCTGTTACTGAAGCCCCAAATGTAAAACAGGTGGAAGCAAATCTTCTGTTGAAACAGAGGCTGAAGTTCGTGCCTGTCCACCCCTACCACCGACCACCCCTCCCCTACAGCTGCTGCTGATGCAGCCCATCCGTCCGTGCGGTGCGGAAATCCAAGGCTGTGAGATCTCTATTCCACACCGAGGAGCCCCAGCCCCAGCCCCAGCCCAGCCTTGAGAAGCCTGTATCTCAGGATGGTACCAAACGCCTCATCTCAGCCACAAGGCTGCCAACCCGGGTGAAGGAAACCAGAACTCCCTCAAACCTCCCCGCACTCTGAACGACTGTAAAAAGGAGCTTTCTCTCCGAGACTAACAGAGGCCGTACTACATGCAATAATCAGCTTGTTTCTTTGCAATTACTTCATCATCAATGTCTGGGTTTTGTTCAAGTTTATGTTCTCTTTGTGATCAGTAAGAATAAAACATTGTGTTGTGAACATAATTAGATTTTACAAACCCAAAGACTGCCGAACTGCTGCAGTTGATCTCTTTATGAAGTAATTATACCAATTATATGAGGTGATGTTTTAATGCAAAACATTACCCACTTGGCAGACACTATTGATTTAAAATAAAAGAAGCGATTAAAAGCAATTTATGGATCTCTCCTGGGTAAAAGCATGAAACCAATATAAACTAATTGGATTCTGAGTCATGGAGTGAATTATGTACCACTTTCTTGGATGCTCTAGTTAAGGCAGTATTACAAACTCTAACAAAGGTTTGATAGACTGTTAATATGTCTCTTTCCCACTGCTAAGATTACACCATTGAAAACCAAGTAATGTTTCATGTTAGGACCCTCACAGCCACTTTGCTAATTTCACTTTTCATTAATTTAGGATAAATACTCTGCATCTTTTATAGACAGAATTTCCATCAACTTTCTGAAGATGCATTTCCTTTATGTTTATGTTCAGGAAAACAACTTAATATCTAATTCTCATAATTAACATTTAGCAACAAATTAATAACTTATTCTTAAATGGTCCCTTTTTGTTTGGGGTAGGAAGAGGATTCTGGCCTACCTTTATGAGAAAAAAATTATGTATATATATAGACAAAGCAAGTGTTGCAGAAACATAGTTCTTGAGATCACTGGCTCAAAAATTCAAGCAAAACAAAGTGCTGTTTCTAACCATAAAGGCATACCTAAAATTAGTGACTTTGTCAGCGCACAGGAAGGAAATCATAAATAGTCAAACACTGGAACCCAAGTGTGAGATTACGGAAGTCAATAAACCTGACTGTTTTCTTTCTGTTCACATCCTGCCTGCGAATTTTATTAGAAGAAAGAAAGAATACAATAGTAAAATTAACATATATGTACATATATATATATATTAAGGCTACATAGTAATTCATGAAAAAAAAACACTTTAAAAAAATCTAATTCCAATGTAAGTGAAATGAAAAGTAACAGTCCCTCTTCACACTCTTGCTTCCCGTGTATCACCCCAGCATTAAAAATAGTGACTCTCAACAAGTTAGTGCTTTTCTTTCAGTTTTTTCCTATCTAAATGGTTAACCTGCGGTACTATCCTAT